AATTAATACATTAATTTATAGTAATGTATAGTAAAGTATAGTATAGTAATGTATAGTAAACAGTGTTCCGTGCACCTTGGTGTCAGTCATGCCGGCCACATGACCACGGAAACGTCTTCGGACAGTGCTGGCTCTTCGGCTTGGAAACAGAGATGAGCACTGCATCCCTAGAGTTGGATTCAACTGGCTTTCGAGCGAGGGAAACCTTTACCTTTACCTATAGTAAAGTACCTACATGTTAAATTTCACCCATGTAAGCCAGGAAGTCAAAACAAGAAAGACATTGAGCCAAGCGGAAAGGCAGGGTATAAATATTTTAATATTTTAATAAATTAATTTATAGCAATGTATAGTAAAGTACCTACATGTTAAATTTCACCCATGTAAGCCAGGAAGTCGAAACTAGAAACACTGTTCAGCTGCAGATGATAAAGGACAATACATATATATAGAATCCCAGCATGTTTTAATTTTAGACCAAACCCTTCAGCTGTATTGAAGAACTATGGTGTACTTCAAGGAATTTCTCATTTCTTTGCTGCCTGGGACCTGCCAATCCCATTTGGATAATGACAGTGCACTGAGGGTAACCACGCTGTCTCATGGTCGTCACTTTGATGAGGGGGCAAGGAGAAGTTACAACTCTTTGTGTGGGCAAGTTGGCAACACTCCCAGTTTAACATAGTTATTTTACTGTCTACTAGGGCTGAAGGCCAAGACATCTACCTCAGTCTGCCCCAATTGCAGGTATTACTAGTTGGGGCAGAATATGAATATGTATCCCCATTAACTCTTAACTATCCATAAAGCATGGTTGGGTCAGAGGTGGGCACTTTGGCTTTTCTTGCATGATGGAACTGATATACTTCCAGATGGATTTCAGAGGAATGAATAGAAAATTAATAGTTGTCTTTTAATTATGCATCTGTTTACTGTTAGTGTTAAAATAATATTTCTAATTTTGTCAGATTCTTTAACACAATAATGATATCTTAAATACATAAAACTCACACACATTAAATACTGGAATACCAACTGGTATTGAGTGGGTGTATGCACATATTGACAAAATTATCTTTTGTCTTCCTTTTTTGTCTTCTTTTTTTGAAGTCTAGATATGTCTGTTAGTCTAGGCACAGTACGAACATGTTATACATTTGTGATAGTTTCTTCAGTGTGGGAATGTTACTGGTATTCCAGTTCCAGAATTATAAAGTTGGCTGATGTCTCAATTTGGCACATTAATAACTAACATTCATATCTCTTGACTTGCGCCAGGAGATGGAAGGTTTGTTGGTTCCACTGGACCCCTCAGCAGCTTTTAATACCATGAATCATAGTATTCTTCTGGACTTCCTGACTGGGCTGGGATTGGGAGGCACTGTTGTGCCGTGGTTCTGCTCCTACCTGGAGGGTAGGTTTCAGAAAGTGGTGCAGGGATGTGGGCTAATGAAGTTTAATCTCAGCAAGATGGAAGTGCTACTGGGGGGTAAAAGGTCTGACCCAGGATAAAACATGTCACCCATTCTGGATGGTGTTGCACCATCCAGGTCCATAGTCCATAGTCTGGTCCATAGTCTGGGGGTGTTCTTGGACACAGACCTACTGCTGGATCAGCAGGTGGCAGCTGTGGCCAGAACTGCATTTTACCAGCTTCAGCTAGTTAGCCAGCTGTGGCTTTTCCTTGGCATAAAAGATCTGGCTGCTGTAGTGAATGTACATCAAGATTAGATTACTGCAAATTACTGCAGTGTGCTGTAGATCGGGCTGAAGTTTTGTTCCAAAACTTCAATTGCAGCCAGAATGTTGACTGGAGTGGGTCATAGGGACCATGTCACTCCAGTCTTGGCCCATCTACACTGGCTTCTGGTCACAATTCAAGGTGCTGGTCTTGATCTTCTAACCCCTATACAGTTTGGGACCAACATAGCTGAAGTTTGCTCCCTTATGAACCTGCCCAACTACTATAATCATCTTTGGAGTATCTGCCTTGGGTGCCCCTGTCTTCTGAGATGAGGTGGTTGGCAACCCAGGAGAGGGCCTTCTTGGTCATGGCACCAAAATTCTGCAACACTCTCCCCAGAAAGAGTCGTCTGTCCCCTTCTGTTACCATCTTTCACCAGTGGGTGAAAACCTTTTTGCTTCGTTTGGTATTCCCTCAGTGATCCCTCCTTCTCACCAATGTGTTTATGTTTTGTGTGTATTCTAACTCTGTGTTAATGCTGTGTGTTGGAGGGGGTTGATTTTAATGGTTTTAAAATGTGATTTAGGGCTCTTTTTGTAGCAGGAACTCCTTTGCATATTAGGCCACACACCCCTAATGTAGCCAATCCTCCAAGAGCTTACAGAGCTCTTCTTACAGGAGCTACTGTAAGCTCTTGGAGGATTGGCTACATTAGGGGTGTGTCGTTTAATATGCAAATGAGTAGCTGCTACAAAAAGAGCCCTGCCGGGCGCCTTGGTGGCCCTTATAAAGGCAGAAAGGTGAGATACAAATTTTGTAAATAAATAGTAAATAAATATATTTTATCTAGTAACCCTCATAATAAAACTGGATGAAAAAATAAATAATATACCCTTATCTATTTCATTTTTCCCCAGTATCTTACAGTGTAAACAAAATTACGTCTTTCTAAGCTCACAGAGTTAGAAAGTGGATTTTAAAAGGTGTAACTCTTGTTCTGGGTTGCATGGGTAGTTTAATATATTGATCTATTGCTGGTATTTTGAAGAAGGTCTGCAACAACATATATAAGAAGCCTGCAGCCCTTTCACTATGGCTCTGGCACTTTTGAGTGCTCTGTTTATTAACTTTATTCCATGTACATGGTATTAAATATCAGTTTTAAAGTTCTTATAATTTGTTGTTTCATCATCAGATCAAGTTTAAAAGACCATTTAATGAGAATTCCATACCAGCTGATTGTGATAAACATCTTCTCCAACTTGTGTTCTAGCTATTCTAGTCAAATAATAAATTTTAAAGCATTTGGGTGAATGCTTAATCAATCAACATACAATAAAGAGAATAAAAGAGAATGTCATGGTTTTACAGACTCACCCTAAACAGAGTTACACGATTCTAAGTCCATTGAAGCCAATGGGTTTAGAAGGGTATAACTCTTTTTAGAATTGTACTCCAAGTTACTTAATAAGGAAAGGAGTAGTATTTGTAGTCAAAT